ACCTTAGAAGATTTATCGGACCACTTAGGTAACAGATAGTTCCTTAGCAAACAGGAGCATTTAGAAGGAAAATGAAAGATTAATATTTCTTAAATAAATGTCAAAAATAAGTCATTCTTTATTACAGCCCTACAAAGATGGTGCTGTCAGCCCCAGCCCCTCTGCTGATTCCTTGGGGAGATTATTCCTGCTGCAGTCTCGGGCTCAGGAGGTCTCAGATGTCCGATGCCTCTGGATTTTTAGGGATGCTTTGAAGGGCTTTGCTCCCCAGTGCCAAAACACACCAGAATCAGTCAGCCCCTTATGTGGGTGGAGGTTGGGAGCTCTCCCTGACTTGGCAGCAGCTCCAGGAACAGGAGGATGCAGGTCCTGACTCTGCCATCGCTGCCCAGTCAAGGATGTGTGCATCCAACCCAGATTTCCCTGGGGTGGCTGCAACCTGGCAGCTCCTGGTCCTGCTTGGCACATCCCAGCTGCCTTTCCTGCTCCTTAATGGGTGAGAAGCTGAGCTAACCCTTGGGACAGCCTCTCTACTCCTATCACCAGCCATCTTATTTCCTTTGGAAAACACTTGGATGCTGTTGGATGGGGGTGGGACCAGAGCAAGTGTCCGTACTGCCACCCAGCTCTGCAACTACCCAGCAAGGAATTACAGGATTTTCTTTCCCAGGTCACCCTGATCCATCTATTGTTTTTCATGCCAACATGGGATTGGGATGACCTTCAGATGGGGCTGGGCTGTATTCCATGTCTCCTTCTCTCCCCCATCCCAGTCACCTCCAGCCTGGAGCCTGCCCTCTGGCACTGGGAAGCCATTCCCTCTTGTCCTGTCACTCCAGGCCCTTGTCCGAAGTCCCTTTCCAGCTCTCCTGGAGCTCCTTTAGGGAGTGGAATGCTGCTCCCACCCATCTCCCCCACACCAGCAGCAGTGAAGGTAATTTGCCTGGGTGATGCCACCCAGTTGGCATCTTGATTTTTTTTCCAGCCACCCACTCCCACGCCTCTCCCTGATCTCTGAGCTGAACTGCAGTGCTGCTGACTGCGATACCCACCTGGAGAGCAGCAACCCCATAGAATCACAGAATATCCTGAGTTGGAAGGGACCCTCAGGGATCATCAGTCCAACTGCTGGCCTTGCACTGGACACCCCAACAATCCCACCCTGTCCCTGAGAGCATTGTCCAAACACACTTTGAGCTCTGGCAGCCTTGGGGCCATGACTCTGGGGAGCCTGTTCCAGTGGTGACCAGGAACCTTTTCCTAATGTCCAGCCTAAACTTCCCCTGACACAGCTCCACCCTTGGGTCCTGTCACAGAGAGAACCATCCTGGATAGTTTATTCACCTTGCAGGAGCAGCCTGGGAGCTCCTCCACGCCAAAACCCAACCGGAGTCCCTCACCCCCATCCCTGCACATCTCCCAGCCCCATCAGGGCTGGACTGGGCACTGTCCAGGGCACAGGCAGGAACAGTCCCTGCCTGGCTAATCTGGGCAGCTGATACAGGGAGCGATAGTCGAGGGGAGCGTTATCGGCTGATTTACAGATGGAGGCTGAGTCACCACGAGTAACCGACTTCTCAAGGTCAGGCAGGGGAGAGGCCGAGCCCAGCGCTGAACCCGGCTCTCCGAGTCCCCCAGCGAGGCCATCCCCCCTCTTCCTGCCATGGGAAGGAGTTATTCCTTCTGCCAGGGCAGGGGCTGGACCTGCCGCTCCTTTGCTTCAGCAGCTGGTGGGGTTTCCTTGTTTCATGTTTGGCTTTTTCCTGTTCTCACAACCATTTTTTTCCCTTGCCAATGTTTTTGCCAGAGCGAAACATTTTGCCTGTTTTCCCCAGGTTCACCCTGGGGAGATGCTTCCCCTGCTTCTGCCTCACCTGTGGGGACCTGGTGGTCCCATCTTCATAGTGTGGTCCCCGTATGGTGTCCCAGATGAGCTGCTGGTGGGATTCACAGCTCTTATGGGAAGGAGTTTCTATCTATGGCAATGATGTGGCCTCCCAGGATTTGTGTCTGCAGGAATAAGTGCCAAGGAAATGGGAAGCTCTAAGGTGCTCAAGGAGCACGGGCAGCCCCCGAGGACCCTCAGCTCTGCCCCTTGGGCACAACCAGCTCTGGAGGAGTGAGGAGCGGAGCCGCTTGGCTCCGGGTGCCAGGGAGCCGGGGCGGTGAATCACAACCTGTCTGGCATGCTGGGGCTCCTGGCAGGATGGGACCTGCCCCATGGAACAGCAGGCAGGGCTCTGCAGTGCCAGCCAGGCTCCTGCCATCACTGCTCAGCTTGTACCCATGTTCCTGAGCCACAGAAAGGCTGCAGGAGGCTGGAGGTGGCCCCATGTCAGCCCTGGTGTGGGAGGATGCTCCAAGGACAGGTGAAAGGGCTGAGCCCCCGGCAGGGCACACAAATGCAGGTGGAGATTGCTCTCCCTGTGGGCAGGCAGCCTGTCAATAAATATCACATGTGTTTTTAAAAGCAAAACTTGCTTTGCCCCCATTCCATCCCTTTCCAGCTCCTCTTCCAGGAGCTGAAATGTAAAAATCCAAGAAGTGACACCAGTGGTAATCCAGAGAGGAGCCTGGTCCTGGGAGCTGACTGAGGCCTGTAAAAAAAAAATCGATGAAATAGTCCCCATTTTCATTTTTTTCTGGGTTTCCCATCCCACAATGGGTGAACTGTGCTTGGGCTGGATTCATAAACCCTCGGGTGGTGGATGCAGGAGCTGCCTGGGGAATATCACTTTAAATCAACACACCCAGCCCTCCTTATCGAAGGCCCCATCGAAGCCGCACCAAGAGGCCCTGGATTTCTGTGCCACGCTGCTCCCAGGGCTGCTGTGCCACCTCAGAGTGATGCCCCACGGCCACAGCCAGCAGGAGGGACCCACCATGCAGGAGTGGGGGACCCTCAAACCCTGGCATGAGATTTTTGACATCAGGGTTTTGAGGAACAAATCCCAACTTTACACCTTGCCCTTATATCTATGTGCCATGTGTGATTTGCATGGGGTAATTTCGTGCCCATTTCTTGCCACCACCACCAGGACATGGACCCTTTGCATCAGTAGGGCAGTCCTGCATGCCACCAGCTCTGCTGTCCCCATCTCCATGACTCAGCCAGTGCAGGAGCAGGAAGTTTATGTCTCCTGGCACTCAGCTCCAGCCCCTCCAGCCCTTGCCATGCAAATCCTGCAGCTTTACTGCCACACCAACGAGCCTTTCCTCCAAAAAAAAAAAACACAACTGAAAAACAAAAAAAGGCTCCTTTATGTGGCTGAAAAGCCTGACTGTGATAATGTAGCAAGCACTGGCCTTGGGTATTTTATCTTGGCAAGGAGCCTTTGCAAATTTAAACAGCAGCAAACAGGCTTTAGAGTTGTGGCTGGCGCGGCATAAGTGGGGCATTGTTTTGCAAGCAGAGCCATTGCGTGCCAAAGGGCCGCGTGTGAGCTTTGGCCGGGGAGCCGGCACGATAGGAGCCGGCCCTATCAGCCCCGGATCCATTTCACTTAGCAGGGTGTGAAATTGGGGAGGAATTCAAGCCTGGTTATTGGAATGAGAGAGGAGACCCCCGGGAGCGTTGCTGTCTCCTCCCGGCAAGGTCTCACAGCATCCTTGAAGGAGTGCTGGGACTGCAGCCACAATTTTGCCACCTCTGTATGTACTAAATATTGTTACTAATGCAGCATTGTGGGGTGCTGGGTGCTCATCCTGACTGCTCACAGCAGAGCATCAGGTGGGAATGGAGAGACAAGCCAAGCACGCTGTGGAGACCCTGGGTTGATGCAGGATGCTCTTCTTTTCCTGCAGAAATTCTCCTCTGCTTAGGTCACTGCTGGGCAGGATGGCCAGGATGGGTGGACCAAGTAGGGCTGGGAGAGGTGAGAATTGTACCCAGGAGGAGATTAATAAAATGAATTTCCTGGTCCTCACCCCCTCCCAGCAGTATCGTGCCTTGACCCACTGAGACAGACAGTAAAGAAGGATTTCTAGTGAGAGAGGAGAAATAAACCCTCACTGTTTCCAACAGACTTTTTAAAAAAAGTCTTTTGAAACAGGGCTTTACCCTTCTTTTTAATATAACCTTTTTAATATAAAATTCTAGTGGTGCCTTTTAAAAGGCTGAGCTTGACTTGTGCTTTGTGTCTAACGCCTTGAGGTCTGGGGTTGTAAAATCAGCTGGTAAATTTGGGACTCAGCTTTTATGCTTTTGCCTCCTTAATAGTGTTTAAAATTTCCAGGGCAATTTGTAGGGGGTGGTAAAGTTAAGGCAGAGGCAGCAGGAATTTCAAAGACCAGGAATTTCAAAACGATGGTTTGGTGGAGGGGCAGCAAAGAGATGCACCAGGTGGGGAAAGTGGTGGAGCAAAAGCCTTTCCTCTCATCATCCCTCCAGCCACGGTGACATGGGGACATGGGAACATGAGGACACAGGGACACGGGCACACGGGGACATGGAGACAGAGCCCTTCCCAGATGCCTCTCCCAGCCCATCCCGACAGCCCTTCCCACTAATCCGTAGGTGGAGCTCTTCTGTCATCTTTTTCTGCTTATGTTGCTAAGAAGTAACCCAGAAATAGCTTTCCCCGGAGGAAAAAAGTGCTTCCTCAGCAGCTTTTGCCAGAGGTGAACTGCTCAAAGCATCCTTTGAAGAGCCCAAAGCTGGAGGGCTTTGCCCTGGAGCTGTTGGGGGGGGATTGTGCTGCCCCTTCCTCTATCCACTTTCCCACTGCAGTGCCAAGAAAAGTGACTAAAATCTCTCCTGTCCTTCCACTGGTCCCCTCCTGACTGACATCACTCCTCTCTTCTCTCCTCTCCAGGTCTGAAATGATGCAGCAGAGCCCCACCAGTGCTCGGGACCCCCCACCACCCTGGCCCTGGGGAGCTGCTGCCCCTCTCACCGCCCCGGTGCCCCTTGGTGGAGGACCATGCCCATGACAGAGGGACAACAGCTTGCCACAGGACAGGACAACAGGGCTTTCTAGGCTGTCCCCCTCCTTGGTATCATGACTGGAGAGACCCAGCATGTTTACACCATCAGCGATACTGAGGCTGCCCCCAAAGACCCCGACAAGGACTTTGGCTTTGAAGGCTGTGGGGAGAAGGATGGGAGGGTGCTTGGCGGGGAGGGCACGTCCCCCTTCCTCGGCCCCAAGGACAAGGAGCCCCACAGCCAGCGGGAAGCCGTGATCCGGCCCCAGCAAGCAGGGAAGATCGACTTCAAATCCCTCCAGTGCAAACCCAAATTTGGCAATGACAGCACTTGGGGGGAGGTCAAGGGCAGCCCCCAGTCCCCACTGGGGAAGGGCCGAGCCCGTGAGCGCAGCCGGCGCTCGGGGAAGGGCGAGCGGGGCCACCACCAGCTCTACCGGCTCAGCATCACCGGCACCCGGCCGAACCCCACCATCGGCATCGCATACCCCCAGCAGAAGGTGACCCCCCAAAAGGAGCCGGAGGTGACTCCCCCCGTGGCCGGCAGCTACCGCTTCCATGTGCCCAGCATTCCCCAGCGCGAGGCCGAGCTCCGGCAAGAAGAGCTCAGCTTTGGCCGCTGCTTCCCCGATGCCGCTGCCGGCCGTACCTCCGCCAACTATACCTCACAGCCCGGCCCCCTCCTAGGCCCCAAAGGGCAGCCCCCCACTGCCGGCATCCCCCTCAAGAGCCCCAGCACCCATGGGCAGCTACATTACTTAGAGTTTCAGGCAAACAGGACCAAGTCCTGGCCTTCCCCAGAGAAGAGCTTTGCCGGTGCTAGCTACGGGATCACGGTGCAGAAGCCCAGCTCTTTTTCTGAGGGTGGGAAAGCCAGTGTCCACAGTCTGGGGGCTTTGCCATGCCAGTACCCCTTCCAGCTGCTGCACGACTCGGGGAAGGAGCCGTACCACGGCGATGCAGGGAGCCAGGAGTACCTGGACGTGGGGCTCACCAGCAGCCAGCTGGCACACGGTGCCTTCCCCTTCCACTCCTCCTCCAGAGAGTGGCAAGAGGAGACACTGAGCAGTGGCTCCTACGAGAGCGTGTCCCCTGAAGGGAGGCTGTACCTGCCCGTCCCAGCGCCGCCGTCGCCGTTCCTGCACCCGCCGCCACCGCCGGCCCCGCACCACAGCCCGCTGCCCTGCTGCAAAGGCAGGAGCGAGCATCCCGCCGACCCCAATGGTGCTCTCTCGTCATCTGGTGCTATCGACCAAAACCCAAGCACTTTCCAAGAAAACCAAGCTGTTTTTCCGTCTAGTTTACACTCGCCTAGTATGCCAAAGCCAGTCGGTAAGAGGCAAGCCTCAGCCAAGGACAGTGTCCCCGGCCCACGGCTGCTGGTCCAGAGCAGCCCTCTGAGAAGGAACATGCCACCAAACTCTCTGTCCCAAGTGCACTTTCAGAGCAAAGCCTATTGCAGTTCCCCCGTGGGCAGCACCAGCGCAGGATCCGTGCCTTTCGAGACAAGCATTCCCACTACGGCACCCACCCACCCCAGACTTGTGCAAGCTTGGGAAGGTGCCACTAAGGCGTTTTCTCCCATGGACCAGAATTCAGCACCTTATTCAAACCCTGTTGGAAGCCAGTTCTCATTCGAGTGCCAGTCTGGCCCCGAGCAGAGGCAGCACAGGCAGAAAAATGCCAGGATGCCTTGGCAGCAAATACACCTCCCTTCTGCAATGCCCGGTGCAAACAGGCTGGAGCTGTCGAGGCAGATCACCAACCAGAAGCTCCACTTTCCCCTGGGCACATCAGAATGGCAGGGGAGTGGGAAAGCCCAGAAAGGGCCCCCCATAAGTAACTCTCCAGGGTATCATGGCAAAAAGCTCTTATCAGGAGAGAGCCTCGGGGTCCAGAGGGTAGACCCCAGTGTGACGGGCACTTTCTCTTTTGAGAGTGGGAAGGACCCGGGGTCTCCTGTCTGCGACTCAAGAAACAAAGCCATTTTCTACAGCATGGGTCAAGCAGGTCCTCCTCCTCCCTCAAGAAGCTCGTCGGGCTCAGCACTGGTCCTGCTGCCATCAGCCTTGGTGGCTGCCTCCCCTTGCGAGTCCCCACTGCCATCCCCTGTCCCCAACCCCACCTGTGGCAGCACCTGCTCATCGCTCTCCCCCATGTCCAGCAGCCCACTCAACCCTGCCTTCGAAGACAGCCAGATGTCTGGAGCGCTGACGCCCTCGTCCTTCTTCCAGCACCCCTGCCACCCCAAGGACTCCAACAAAACCTTCCACCCCTCTGATGTCCTGAGCCCCAACTCACTTCATTACCCCCCCTCAGACTCCATCAAGTCCTTCCACTTCCCTCCTGATGCCCTGAAAGATGACAACCTCCTGAAATGCACCCCGGCAAGCCCATTCCACAAACCCGGCGTGGAGGTGGCCAAAGGATGCTCGGATGGACTGGATGGGGAGCAGCCTCCACCACCGTACTCCTCCCATCACTTGCTGGCCAGTTCACTCAGCAGTGCCAGCCTGGACCAGCTGGACGTGCTCCTGACCTGCAAACAGTGTGACCAGAACTACAGCAACCTCTCATCCTTCCTGCAGCACCGCCAGTTCTGCGCCTCCCATCCCACCCCCCAGGGAGAGGGCAAGGATGCTCCCCGGGCAGCCGAGGGGCGGAAAGCACTTCCCCAAGAGCCTCCCAAGCCCCCCAGCCTGGGGCTCTCTCCAGACCCGCAGGTGCATTTGTTGACATTAAACAAGAGCGATGACTTCTTGCTGGACGGGGAAGGCAAAAGCGAGGGCAAGGAGGATGCTCTGAAGGGCAGCCTCTTCAACGGCCTCACTGCCACCTCTCTGCCCCTCACTGCCTCTGACCTGGACATTGACGACGCCAAGCTGGACAGCCTGATCACTGAAGCCCTCAACGGCCTGGGGTACCAGTCAGATAACCCAGAGATCGACAGCAGCTTCATAGATGTGTTTGCTGACGAGGAGCTGACGGGCGTGAAGGCAACCAGCAGTGGGATGTCCCACAAAGCGAAGGAAGCCCTGGCCTCAGAGAGCAAATCAAAGCAGGCAGCAGAGGAGAAGGCAGCGGGACAGCCCAAGGCTGGCTATTCTTATGAAGATGGATGCCCAGTTGGGGAGCAGGGGAAGAGAGGGGCAGGAAAGCAGCACCTTCACAAGGGGAGGGCGGCACGGAGGTTGGCAGCCCAGGAGCCGGATCCTGGGGCAGAAGGAGTGGAGAGGACAGCAAGGCTGCGGGCAGACAGGAAGAACAGCATCCCACCAGCCACCACCTCCTCCAAGTCCACCTCCAGCCAAAAACATCCCAGGAAACTCAGCCAGGAGCCTCCAGCAAAAAGCGAAGTGGGGCCGGTCATTGCCACCAAGAGCTCCAAGCCACAGTTCTCCATGAAGGACATGAAGAAGCGGAAGCCCCGAAGTGGGACATGGAGCAAGGAGCTCATTCACAAGATCGTGCAGCAGAAGAATAAGCTCCACAAACTGCAGGTGAAGAGCAGCAAGCAGGTCCAGTTCCCTCAGGCCACTGAGGGGCCAATGCCAGCCACCAAGGAGGGCAGGTTGCAGGAGTATGACTACGTGTCCGACTCGGATGAGGATGGAACAGAGTCCAGCAAGCCCCGGGGGAGGAGGAAGCGTGGCACAAGATTCATCAGGAGGAGCAAATACAGCTTGAGCAAGAAACGCCTGGGGAGAAGTCAGAGAATCAAAGAGAAAGACCCAGCCTGGAACTACAGCCAGAAAAGGGGCAGTCAGAAAAGAGAAGCACAGGGGGATGGGGGGGTTCAAAGACAGGAGGGTGCTGAGAAAGAGGATTGTGCTGCCCGAATCCGAAGACGGAGCAGCCAGTCATCTACCGGCAGCAACCACAGTGGTGGTGAGCCCAGAGAGATGGGCACCAGCCCACCCCGTGCTGAAGGGACCAGTGAGAAGGGTGGCACCCAGAGGAGGAGGCGCTCAGGCAGCCCAGCATGTGTGCCAGGGACTCCACTCAGCCTTCCCAAGGACAGGAACCCAAAGGTGAGCCAGAAGAGCAAAGAGGACATTTCCAGGTGGAGCAGGCGGTTTGGCACAGCCAAACCTTTGCTGGCAGGCTCCAGGACACATCTGAGTCCTGAACCAGATGTTGCTGTGACGGACTGTGCAAAGGTGGAGCCATTTTCACAGCCTCAGGAAAGGCAGCTGCCCATCATGGCCACCTCAGGCAAGAGCCCCATTGGGATCTCCTGTAAGGAAGAGCCCAAAGGAGCAGCAAAGCTCACAGGCGAGGCAGAAGAACCCACCCTGGAGGCTCAGAACTCACCCAGTCTGACCATGGTCAACCAGAGGCATCCGTTCACCCCTTTCACGAGTGAAGGGCTGAAGTACCACCCAGAAGAGATAACTGCTCCATCCCACAGCAGCAACGAAGCAAGTCCTGGCCATGTGAGTGCCACCTGCTCAGAAGCGGGAATCAAGCACTTGAAGGGACATGGGCTCTGTGACAGCCAGAAGGACTATCCCCCTCCGGCCCCCACGTTTGGGGGGGATGCAGTGGGAATGATGCTCAGTGCCAAGGCGCCTGATCCATTCAGCAGCAGTGACAATGCATTTTTTGATCCAAAAGGCCTTCCTGGTCACTACAATGACAGCCTCTTCCCAAAGCCCCCAGCCTTGGGCTCCTCACACATGGACGACATGTACTTGTGCCAGGATGACATCAACAACAGCTCCTTCGAGCAGAAGCACTCCACTATCTCCCCTTATGCCACAGAAATTCCACAGGGCAAGGTGTCCTCCCCTCTCAGCTTTGATTCCTCTTCAATATTTGGAGAGCTTCCTGTCACTGAGTTCGACCCGCCGCTATACGAGAGTGTTTCTGCCAGCAAGGATGGATATGTGACAACATTCATCTCTCCCGGGAATCCCCCCCGCAAGCCACTGCCCTTTGAGCAACCATATCCACCCTTCATGCCAGAGAAAGACTGGTCCCTGATGGAGGAAGTGGCTCCAATGTTGCCAGAGGACATGACTCAGTTCCACAACCTCTCAGTGGAGAAGCCACTAGCCAAGAAATTCCCCGAGGAAGGACCTGTCCCCACCAGCCAGCTCTCCCTGCCACTGCCGGACAGGATAATGGATTATAACGTGACTTTTATAAACAACATATCAGATGATGAGCTGGAGATCAAGCGATTAGTCACAGAGCTGGAAAGCCAACTGCAAACCAGCAAGTTGGGTAACGAGGCATCCATCAGCCTCCAGAAACCTGAGCAGCATCTGCAAGGACAGGAGGCTGAGAGGTTCCCACCACTGCCAGGTGAGCAAGAGGCAGGCCAGGAGAAAGGACTGTTTTTGGCAGATGATCTGAGCAGATCAAGCCTCTGTGCTGGGGAGAGGCTGGGAGGTGAGAAGCTGGGCGTCACAACTGCCCATGAGGACTATGAGAGACCCAGGGAGCCCTGGCCCTGCCCAGTGGAGCTGGGCTCGCTGGAGGCCGAGATGTGTATTCCAGCCCCACTCACCACAAACCATTTCTGCTCCAAAGACAGCAGTGAGCAGCTCCAGGGAACTGCATCTGCTGAGGAAAGAGATCCCGGAAAGCTGGAAAATGGGTCATCTTCCAAAAGTCTACAAGGCTCAAGCACAACAGACCACACAGAGGTTCCTGTCTACTCAGACCCCGTGACAAAAAGCTCTCCTATTGTCACCGACTCCATGTTCCCAAAGACGGTGGAGGCAGCAGAAGCAGCCAAAGATCCTGTGCCATCCCTGCCATGCCAGCGCAGTGCTGAGAGCTTACCTGTGCCAGGGAAAGCAGACACTGATGCTGCAGAGCTGGAGAAGTTTGATGCCCATCTTCCAAACCGTAAACCTGAATTTGGCTTCCATCAGGGTCCCACCCCAGCCTTGGATCTCGCCTTTTCACCTCACATCAAAGAGGTCCCAGATACAGAAGAAAGAGCCTTAAGCCCCACTGAGTCACCCAAAATGGTGCAAAGTGCCGTGGACTTCAAAGAGGGTGGTAGTGGGTCTGTGTTGGTAGAGGAAACAGAGGAGAGGAAGAGTCCAACCCCTGGACTCAATGACAAAGCCAGCAAGCCAAAAGTGCTGCTGTTTGATATGCTGAGTCTGCCCAAGGAAAGCGACCGTGACTCCCGGGAGATGTTGGCATCTCAGGATACATCTGCCAACCCTCTGCAGCAGCTCCAGCTCTTTGTTGCCCGAACGGTGAAGAACAATGAAGAGGAGTTGCTGATGCCATGCTTCCCCATGCTGCTGGCTCCCAACCACCCCTCTGCCACTGCCTGCATCCAGCCAGACCAGAAGGAGGAGAGCAGTGATGCCTTGGAAGGGGAAAATCGGACATACTGCCCTGCCCATGGGGAGGGGGTAATCCCCATGGGAAGCAACACAGAAAATATTGCTGCCCCAGGGGCAGAGGCTGTGCTTTTCTCCAGTGGTTGTGAGCAGCTGGAGTCATTGGGTGCAGTGGGCTCTTTCCATGCAAAACAATCCACATCTGCGAAGCCGGAGCTGCAAAATGATGTAACGGAGCTGCAGCACTTAGCAAATGAACCCGCGGAGCCGAGTGACATTAATATCCCTGCAGATGGTGTTTCCCAAGAGCATAATGACCTCTCGCCACTCAAAAACACGGCGGTGACCCCACTGCCAGGGCAAGGAAGGAAAGCTGATCAGCTCATGGAAGAGCAGGAGGAAGATAAAAACAACACGACCTTGGCATTTACGAAATATGAGCAATCCCATTTTAGCCATAGTTCGCTCAAGGAAGAAACACTGGGTAGCGCAGTGGGAGAGAGGCTGGAAAGGAATCAGGTGGGGAAGGGGCCACAGCACCTGTACAGTGCTCCCACGAGTTCCATCAGCACCCCTGCTCCCTCCGAGGAGGATCTCCACCAGAATCACCATGTGGTGACCGAGATGAAAGTTGGGACAGTGAATGCAAAGGCTCCCAGAGAAGGGGATGGCAAGTCATCCCTCAATGGCTGTTATCACACAGGTGAATCTCCAACCAGCCTGCTCTTGCCAACCCAATTTTCTGACCCCAAATGCTTGGAAAGCAGTGGGGCCAAGGGAGGAGAGGTCCCCAGCTTCATCACTCGAGTCTCAGATGAGAAGAAATACAATTCATCAAGTTCATTAGTCATGAAGAGGTGTCCCCCTGAGGCCAACAGCCATCACATCCATCCCCACACTATGAGTCCAGTAGAGCAAGGGACATGGAAAAGGCCAGCCACCTTTCCTCCCTTGCTGCATCACTGCGGGGCTGTGCCGATGGAAGCAGATGAGGAACATCACCGTCACCTCCCTGATGGTGTTTTGGGTAACTATGGACCATCCGAAAGAGAAGGGGTGGTGAGACCCTGCGCTCTAATGCATGGTGATGGCCTGATGGGCTCTGCCTTGGAGATGGATGCTCACCAGGAACCTCATGGAAGGGACTGTTCTCTTCCCTGTTCGCCACCTTTCAACCAAAAGAATGTTGGGAAAGAGGTACCTGAAAATGCCAGTACTGTGTTGTCAAATTTTAAAGAAAACCAACCATGCACCATCACAGACATGGTCATTAAGTCCACTCCTTCAGAAACCCAAGATCACTCAACCCAGCCCCCAGCAGATCTTCTGCCCATCAGAGAAAGAGAGGTCAACCTGAATCAAGAGAATAAGCTTGAAAGCTGCTCCGATGAGGGAAATAAGCATCAAAGCGAACAAGAGACTTTGTCCAATGGTTTTGCTGTTCAGGAAGTGACAGTTGCTGTCAGCAGAAGTTTCACAAGGGTTGAAGATCTTGGTCCTGCTGAATTAAATGGCCATGAGTTTTCAGAGGCAGCAGAAGTGAGACTTGGTGTTTCCAAAACCACAGGGAGTGAAGGAAAGAGTTTAAAAGGGGAGAAATCCAATAGGCATGGGGCTGGAGAAGATGGGTGTTGTGTGTTAAACAGTGTGGACCAAGGAGAGAACAACACACCCAACAGTACTCCAAACCCTTTAAAAAATGAACTTCACAAAGGAAAAAAGCCAAGTGGGCTCCCAGTGACCTGTGACCTTTGTTCAGCCACTTTCCGGTCTAAGCCTGGCCTGACCAGACACAAAGCTGTCAAACACCAGGTGAAGAATGGGGGTGTGCCACAGCCCAGCAAGACTCCCCGGTCCCCTTCAATTCCTGCAGACGAGATATTGAAAGCAGCCCAAAAGGTACCCAGAAGGAGTGTGAAGGCTTCGGTCAAAGGTAAAACCTGCAGCTCACAGGTGCCAATGAGTGTCGAACACGTCCCCAAGAAGATACTGCCAGACCTGGAGAAAGAGCCCAGCACACAGATGCAAGAGGTGGTCAGCAGAGTGCTCAGTGACCTCAGTGTGATCTCCCTTGAGATGTCCCAGGAACTGCACTGCACACATGTTCTGCAGAGGGAAATGAAGGCAAAGGGACTGCACTCTGAGGTGAGGGGATTGGGAGAGGTGGTATCTGGGAAGCTGGACTCAGGATGGCAAGTCAGGAAGGAAGAAAAGGGCAGAAGGAGCCAAAGCAAAGATCCTGAAGAGGAGAATGGCAGTTCTGAGAAGCAGCTGAACAGGAAAGTGAGACGAAGGAAAACAAAGATGTTTCCCAGCAGAAATGAACCCAATGATCCTTGTGAGCTGGAGAAGAGCATAGGTCCTTCCCCTGCCAGCTGCAGTCTGCCCAGGATCAGGGAGGGCTTGCATGAGCCAGGTGGTTGCATCTCCACAGAGGAGCAGAACGGGACCCAGCACTCCCAAAAAGCCAAACAGTCCCCTTGTGAGGCCCAGCTTGCAGAAGACCTGGGCAACAGGGTGGTGTCTTCAAAGGAGATGGTCAGCAAGGAGTCAGCAATGGACACAGTCACCTACTCTGGGGAGGTGGAAGATCCAAATGGAGTGGAAGATACACAGACTTGCAAAAACTGGGTTAGTGGGTTTGTGAAGCAAGTGACAAAGGGGTTGGGCAAAGTAAGCAAAGAGCAGCATCGTGGTGCTGATGAGGCAGAGGAGATGCATGCTGGGACAGGACACAGCCCTGCAGCAGGCAGTGACACTGGGAACTGGAGTGGTGCCCCACAGGGTCCCACAGCTCCTGCTGAAGGGGCTCTGCCACTGGACACACATGATTTGGGAATGACCCAAAAGGTTCCCAGACAAGGCACTCTGCAGACCAGCCCTCCTCCTGCAGAGCCAAAGCGATGGGCGAAGGCAGAGGTGCCCCCAGGCAGAGAGCACTGCATGGAGAGCGTGGCCACCTCAGACCTCCAGAGCTTTTTCGACGATGACTCCACATTCTCCCAGTTGTTCCCCCGGGATGACCAGTTTGTCCGGAGGAAGTGCACGCGGGTGTATGGGAAGCGTAGCAAGAAACCCAAGCCCGTCACCGAAGTCAACCTTCAGGCAACGGGTGCCATCAACCTCTTCACCATCCAGTTGGCTTCTGACCTCAGCGAAACCAGCTCTTTCTGTGTCACCAGGGAGTCCCCTTGTGAATACGAGACCATCTCTGTTGACGACGCCTTAATGCTAAACATGTGTCATGGCAGCAAGGCGAAGAGCGGAGATGCTGCTCCAAACGGATCTAAAAGCATTGAGCTGAGGTTGGACCACGAGGTGACTGACCAAGGGAAGGAGGACATTGACTTAGAAGACAACATGCTCACCTTCTTGTGCCAAAACAGCCAAGTGGACAATGTCCCCAGCTTGAACATCTGGGGGAGTCTAGAGAAGGAGGGAGAAAGTCTCTCTGCTGAGGACATGTTTGAGCCTCTGATGGACCTTGAGGATGAGCACTCGCTCAGAGAAGCGAGCTCCGAGCCCCCTGACCTGGCAGAGGAGCCCTATGATGGTAAGGATAACGAGGATTCGGACTCTCCTGAATTTCATACCATCGACATCGAGATGCTGAATGCCAAGCTCAAAATGAGAGACATGTGCTTCTTTGGCCCTTGTGAAGATCTTCCTGGCCATGGGGAGGACAGCACTGTGAGTTTGAAGCCAAAGTCAGGCAAGCACAGGAGCAAGCTGGAAGATGGGAAATTGGGGAAAAACCGCGGTGAGATAACCATCAAGACCAAAGACAAGCAGTACAAATGCAAAGTCTGCTTCCAGTGGTTCCTGACATTAGGGGAGCTGGACTTCCACAAGCTCTCCCACAACCCTTCCCCTCCACCTACCTGCTACATGTGTGTCCAGCGCAAATTCAGCTCCCGGGAGCAGCTGAGGGACCACCTGAAGGAGAAGCATGCCAAGAACAAAGCTGGGCTGTGGGCGTGCGGGATGTGCCTGAAGGAGATCTCTGACGTCTGGATGTACAACGAGCATCTCCGGGAACACGCCACTCAGTTTGCCCGCAAGGGGCAGGCGCAGAAGTCAGTGATGGGCCTGCCAGCCTGCTTTGGTGAGGACAATGCTGCCGTCACCCACTTCCTCAACACCATCATGTATCGGAAGCCCAACAGGTCCTCCCGGCACGCCGACCCCGGCAGCAGGCACGTAGTCACCAGAGAGAGCAAGAGCCCCAAGGAGCTGCCTCTCGAGCAGGAGGCCAAGGCGATGAAAGACCCCTTGGAAAGCAACGTCAAGGTGAAGCCACCTGCTCCCAGCTCCTCTAAAGCATCTGCCAGCCCCTCTCCAGAGCACATGGCAAAAAGCGAAGGCACTCCAAAGTCTGTCCCCATGCACCCAGACTGCAAAGATCCTTCCAGGGACTGCCATCACTGTGGCAAACAGTTTCCCAAGCCCTTCAAGCTCCAGCGGCACTTGGTTGTGCACAGTTTGCAGAAGATTTACTTGTGCCACAGGTGTCCCATGTTCTACCAGGAAACCAAAGAGCTCCGAAACCACCTGAGCCAGGAGCATGGTGTAGTGGAGGAACAGGAGATCAAGCACACCACCCTGTACACCTGTGAGCTCTGTGCCGATGTCATGCACGTTATCAAGAAGTCCTTCATCTGCAGCATGTGCAACTACACCTTCTCCAAGAAGGAGCAGTACGACCGGCACATGGAGAAGCACCTGGCAGGAAGCAACAAGACTTTCAAGTTCAGAGGGGTCATGAGGCCTGGCACTGCCTCCAGGGAGGGCAGGGAGAAGGAGAAAGAGGACGGATGTCTCCAGGAGGCCATGCCTCCAAGCAAGAAGAGGAAGGTTACTCACCACAGCAGCTCACTCCCATGCAGGTCACCGGTCCACCTGCACCACACGAGTGACCTTCAGCTGGTAGAAGCTGCAAGCCCCAGTCTGCAGAATCCCACTGACTCCTTCCCAACAGCACCTGGTGATCCAGGAGCACCCCAAACCTCCGTGAAAACAGAAGACTTGGTGGGTGACTTCTCCGACCTCCTGGCAGAGATGGAGAAGTCCCCATTTGACACCCTACCACCACCCCCCTGCCTCTCCCCATCTCTGCCTCAAGCTGCCGCAGGCAGCCCGGAGCTCAGCCACATTGCTGGCCTGGCTATCGAGGAGCTGGAGAAAGGAGCATTTGATGGGAAACCACTTCCTTTCTTGGACTCACCCGAGTTTACCATGGACCTTGCTGGGCTGGCTTGTAACCAGGCCACAGACCAAAAACTCTCTCCTCCACACCTGACCGAGAAACGTGGCTGCGCTGATGCACATAAAAGAACAGGCAACAAAGATGAATATAGAGCGTATGTCATGGAAAATCCCAGTACAGGCACCAATGCCATGGATGAGATCCCATTTCTCCAGCTCTCCAAGAAGGTCCCAGAGCTTCCTTCCCCTCAGGCAGAGTCTCCAACAGCCAAGGAGACCCTCAGATGGAGCAACCTCAGTTCCAGCGATGTCTCTGCTTGGGAAGGTGCATCTGAGGCCATGTCTCCAGAAGCTCCCCACCACCCCCTGCCCCTGAAGGACAAGTCAGCATCACCCACACTCAACAGGTCCACCAAAGATTCAGCCCCACCAAAGAAGACCACAGGTAGCCAGCCTGGCAATGAGGCTGTTCTGGGTGTGGGCAGCCCCAACGGTAGCACCGAGGAGGGTCAGCAACCCATCTCCGGAAGGGATAAATCCATGCCTGAGGCTAAGGATGGTATCACTAACGCCAAAGACCAAGGTGGTAACCCAGGTAAATCCACCAGCCATCAGCCCAGAGGTGAAATGGCCACCAACGCCACAAAGCACAGCCATGTGGAGCCAAACAAAGCCACTGGCAAGCTTCACCCCAAGAGGAGGAAAGAACACAAATCCTTGAGCCACCGGAGCAGCTCTGGCTCCCGGGAGAACATGGAGGGAGATGGGAAGAAGAAAAAAGCCCGGACACCGTGCCCGGTGAGGAGCGAGAGCACCGTCGAGCTCAAACGCGCCAGCTGGAGCAACGCTGAGGCCTCCACCCTCTCCCCGGGGAGGAGGGAGACGCACTGCAACAAACTGGTATCCAAACCCAAAACGGGCCCCCAGCTGAAGAAGATGGTCCTGGACACTTACAACCAGAAGAAAGGGGAGCTCCGTCACGCCAACGGGGACGTGAAACGCAGGAAGGCCATTCTGGGCAAGAGCCTCCACCAAGTGTTGGCCAAGGGGCCGACGCCGTCCCCACGCGGCACCTTGCACAGCCCGCGCGCTGCCCGCGGGGCCAAGCCGGCCGGCGCCGCCAGCTACCGCACCGCCGAGTCCCAGAACAACCTGCTCAGCCAACTCTTTGGGCAAAAATTAACTAGCTTCAAAATTCCTTTAAGAAGAGATACTTCAGAATAATTTATGGAAGTGACTTATGGTGATCCTCAGCTGCTTTCATGGGGTTTGCAAGGGAAAAATTATCAAAGCATTAAATTCGTTTGTGTAGCATGATTTCTCTGTCTAGCTTAAATGAACTTGCACTGCAGCCTCTGTGAAATAGTTTGCTTTGTGTCTACTAATCTACTTTAATTCACCTGATTTATCATGCAAATGCTAGAACTTTGATGTTGCTGATGATTTTCATGAACTGAAATTGTAATCGCTTTGGGCAGACTGAATCGTCGAGAGCAATTGCTTTATTGCAGAAGTGCTGAGGTTATAAGGATACTTGCAAATCTCAGACCCTTTTGAGTCTATGTCTGTGTTATCTTTGTACAAAGTACTTGAAGAGATGAACTTCATTCCGTAGACGTCTTATTCAGAAGGTGCAGTACACTGTAGAAAGCAAATTTTATATTTTTTTTTTTGAAGATTTTGCACAAATAATCCCGTACAATTCATTTAATTGGGAGCTGGCCTAAGAGATGATACAATTAAAAAATTAAATTAAGAACCAAGTGTCCTATATTTTGACAGCCATCCCTAAGGATTTTGTTTCTACATCGTCAAGAGAATAACGAATCAGCTCTGGGGCTCCGGGGCTGTCAGAGCCTTTCAGAGGATGCTGCCACTCTTTGACCACTGTAGACGATGTGACCGGAGAAGAACCGTCACCATGAGCAAACTGCACCTTGACACTTGTGACAAACTCTGATTTTTTAGGGGTTTGGGGGGGGGTTGTGTGTGTTTGTGTTTTCTTTTTGTTTGTGGGGGGTTTTTTGTGCAACGAGAAAACTGTGCCAATTTACCGCACCAAACCGGTACTGTCCGAGTGCCCTCAACGGTATCACTTCTAAAGTATCTTACTGTATTGAGTTAGTGGCTCTATAGGTATCCGCTTTTACTATGCAGTTACTGGTGCTATTCTTCATTTGTAATGTGAATACAGACTTCCTTGATTGAAAAATAAAAGGGAAACTTTAGGAAATAGCCGTTACCTGTCAAAAAAACAAAGCAGGAAAAGAGACTTTTTAAAAAAAAAATTCCAACTCGAGGGAAAAAAAAAATTCAGTTTAGGGGGAAAAAAATCAATTTAGGGAAAAGAAATTCAACTTTAGGGGAAAAAAAATCCAACTTAGGGGAAGAAAATCAGCTTTAGGGAACCAAAAATTCTACTTTAGGCAAAAATATTAGAGAAAAAAAGAATCCCTGTATGCTGGTACTCCATAGTGTTGAAATGGTTCCGTTACGCTAAATGAGCACGTTCTACAACCGAACTTTTGAATCTGGAAAGAAATCTCAGGTGCAAACGAGGACATGGAAAGATATTATTGAAATACACCCAAGTCAAGGAGGTGAAGTAATGCACTGATGTGATATGAACAGTCAGAGTACTTTGCGTCTGTCCTGCAATGATTTTTTTGTTTTGTTTTAGATTTAAAAGGAAAAAAAAAGAGGCTTTATTCTGTTAATATGTATCTTTACAATTCTTTGTATTGTATAAAAAACTATTGTAGGTAATTTACCTTGGGTGCAATGTGTTCTGTCAAAAGTTTTTATTTTGATATTTTGTCCAGAGAAGCAGAGAAAGAGCAGGAAACCCTGTTTTATGATGTTGTCTGTGTGCTTTTAAAGTGCCTCTTTAATATTGTTAAAATAAAGTATGAGATGAAAATATGGGGTGGTACTGTAAAGTCATACCTGATTAATCTTTTCAAATATATTCCAATATTTTCACAGAAATTCCCTGTCTGTGTGATGTTTGGTGGATGTTCCTCCCTGGAAAGTATCCTCTGTAAAGTGGCTGGGGAGGATGTTGTTGCCACTGCCATCACTTCTGAATTTGTTGCAAAGCAGTGGAGCTTCTCTATGGTGAAGATGCTCCTCTTCACACCACACCTTGCCCAAGTCCTGCTCATGATATGAGTGTCTTGTCCTGGGGGGGGGAAAGCCCAAGGCGATGGTGATGGTCCAGTTTGGTCATCACCAGCTGGTGATGGTGATGGCACAGTTTGGTCATCGCCCATTTGTGATGGTGATGGCGTTGGTGATATTGATGGTGATGATGATGATGGTTCTGGTGTTAGTGATGGTGACGGTGCTGGTGATGTGATGGTAACAGCCCAGTTTGGTCATCACCAATTTGTGGTGGTGATGGTGGTGATGTTTGTGATGGTGATGATGGTGATAATGACAACCCAGTTTGCTCATCCCCAGTTTGTGGTGATGATAATGGTGATGGTGATGGTGATGATGATGGTGATGGGATGGTGATGACTGAGTTTGATCATCACCCATTTGTGATGGTGATGTGATGATAGTGACAGTGTTGGTGATGATGATGTTGGTGATGGTGTTGATGATGGTGATGATGCTGACAGTGATGGTGATGATGGTGATGGTGTTGATGATCGTGATAATGATGATGCTGGTGGTGATGGTGATGATGGTGATGGTAACAGTGCTGGTGATGGTGTTGGTAATGATGGTGATGATGACTGCCCAGTTTGTTCATCCCCACTTTGTCCTCAAGCTGACCTCTGCCGGCGCAGCGCCGAGGTCTGGGGGTAGGAGCTGACACAAAGCCGGGTGTATTATATTCTTTAATTACTGTTGCAATCACAACATTGAGACGCTGTCAATGAGAGATAGCTCGGAACCGCCGGCTGGGATCTTCGCCACTCGGGGCTTGTAACTAAAACTGCAGGATTAATTTGATTAATTGATAGAATTATTTTCCAAACTACTCTTTTGTTTATGGAGGCTTAAAATGCTTGCCGCCTGCACCCTCCTGGTGTGTTGCAGAGTGGAGATAAAGTGGCTGAAAATAATTAGTATGGCTTAATTTAGGGAAAAAAATAACCTCAAAAGAATTTTGCGGAAAATTTAAGGCAGCACATTTTACTTTGTTTTGGCAGGAAATATTATGGAGCTGGGAATGGGACTTTTATGTTTTCCCTCTACAATATTTCACCAGGGCAGCAAACCTACAGGATGGAGGAGGAGTATTTCATGCCTGGTTGTTACCACAGCTCTCCCACACCTCCAGATTCATCACCTGGCCACCTGGAAATGAATCCCCTAGGAGCCATGGGATTGCTGCAGGGATGGAACATTTCCTCAGGGCCTTGGGATGGATGCAGGGATATCATCCCAAAGCAGCACCCACCTTACTGAAGCCTAGGACACGAGTGAGGCTTGCCCTGTGTGCCACTCCCTCCAGAATGCCACTCCCCAGGGAGATGCTTGGATCGTCCCCGCGGCTCCGGGGGATGAAATAATTAATTAATCCCTTTCCCCCCTAAATGTGAGTAGTTTTTTCTTTCCCCATCATCTCCCTCTGCTCTCACCTACATCCCCCTCCCGCTGAGCAGGTGACCCCCCCAGTCCATCAGCTCCTCTCAGCTCCCTAAAGCCCCCAGGTTTGCTGAGTTCTGCATTATCCGGCAGCGCTTGTCACTTGGAAGATTGCAGGCCCCTGTCAACGTAATTCCAGCGAGGATGCAAAGCCAGGCAGCTTCTCCTGGCTGCAGATTAACTCCCTGCTCAGCGGGTGCCAGCGGCACAGGGGGGCACCCATGGGACCCAGCACACCCGGGAATCCCAGCCCTGCACCCCACTGGGGTGCACCATCCTCAGCCCAAATCCAGACCCTCATGGATGAGGATGACTCCACAGACAGCCCCAGAGGGGTTACAGGGTGGGTCACACAGACAGTGCCTGGAATTTTACAGAGGGATTTTTTGGCTTCTTGCCACCACGCTAGATTTTCCTCAAGCTGTTTGCTCTTCAAGCCCCCCCAAATCCAGCCAGCCTTTCTTCTCAGCCCCACATCCAAGTTTCTGAGCCAGAGGTGCTTTAAGCCTCTCCATAAAGCCTGGAGGATAACGGGATCCACCATGGTTGTCACACTGCAAGCAGGGGCTGAAGACTTAGAATTTTTTTTCTGGCTTTTGAGTCAAATCTGGCCGTTCCTTGCACAGCAGGAATTTAAACCCCAGCTCCCACCTCCCTCTGGCCATACATCTGTGATGGGTCCACACTCACCCAGGGGGTCCTGAATCCCTGAATTGCCTTCAGGCAGGAAAACCCAGAGCCCTGGGGTCTGTGAAGAGTGGGAATAGGAGCACAGCAGTGATGCACCCCCTATAGGGATGCCATCCTGAAGCCCAGTTTCACTGCCCAATCCCCAGGGGTGGGGGGATCGCTCCTTTTGGAGTTAGAGCACTGTCCCTAAAGCAGGAGGTCAGTAAGAGGGAAGGGGAAATAAGTACTGACACATTCCAGCTTTGAATTTGGGGGTGGGGGCTGCTCATCCGCACATTCCCACCTGGTTTCAGTGGCATCCACCATTGTTTGTGCCAGGGGAGGTTTAGGCTGGTTATTAGGGAAAATTTCTTCGTGGAAAGAGTTGTCCAGCCCTGGCACAGGAGTCACCATCCCCGGAAGGATTTAAAAGCCACGCAGATGTGGCACTGGGGTGCATGGTGTAGTGGTGGCCTTGGCAGTGTTGCTAATGGTTGACTCGATGATCTTAGTGGACTTTTCCAACCTAATCAATTCCATGATTCTGATTTGTTTTAACCCCAAAACCCTCCATACTGCCACCCCAGCTCCTGGGAGCCCTGAACTCTGCACCAGCATCTTTGCACAGGGCATGCCCAAGCCATGCCCAAGCAGTGACGGGACACGCCCAAGGAGTGCCAAGGAGTGCCAAAGCCATGCCCAAGCCATGCCCAAGTCATGGAGGGACATGCCTGAGCCATGCTGAGGCTTTGCTCAAGCCATGTCCAAGCCGTGCCCATGCCATGTGCAAGCCATGTCATGTCCATGTCCAAGCCATGCCCAAGCCATGCCTAGGCCACAGAGGACCCTGAGCTGTTGGCAACTGCCTGGGTCTGAGCCTCAGGCAGGTGACAAGTGGCACCCAGGGCCAGGTTCTCCTGCCAGCAGGTGGCAGGGCCCTTCCACAGGTGGGGCACTGTGGTGCCAGCCCTCTCTCTTGGGACAAAAAAACATAAAATAGGACATTTTGACCTGGGAAAAGCTGTTTCTGCACCCAGGCAGAGCTGTGCCAGTGGGCAGTGCCAACAACTGGGACACCCAGACCCCTCAGGGTGTTCAGCACAGCTCCCAACATCACTGCCACCCACCCCTCACCCCTGAAATACGGCTGAGGCAGCGCCTTGGCTCTTCCCATTTACATTCCTGTGCCGCCACCTCCTCTCCCCGCGTCTCTAATAATATCAGCCCAGATTAATTGGCACTAATACAAATGTACACAGCTCCATAAAAAGATGTCACCTCGCTCACAATGGGGGAAACGGCTGCTCCCACATTATCTCTGCTCTGCAGGCGTGTAATTCACTCCTCGGGAAAACACGCTATTTATTCGGTTCCCCTATAACAATCTCTCTGCAAACACAACGGGATCGGGAAGGGAGCAGGGAGACACCCAGCCATGCCACTGTCACCGGCACCAGGACGCTTGTTCCCCTGCAGGAGCACCCATGGGTCCCCCCAGGTGATGGGGCAGGAGGATGTGGGATTCAGGGATATCGCCACAATGGGGATCCGGCCCTTGGAGGTTGGTTGATGTAACTGCAAATTCTCAGGCCTGGGGGGGATCTAAGAGGCTTTGGGATGGTGCCAAAAAGCTAATTAAAAGGACACTGGCAAGGAATGTTCCAGGGGAAGGACTGCAACCTGTTTCCTCTCTGGAGCTGAGCTCTCCTCCCCAGGGAAGGGACGTACCCCTGTTTCCAGCACCCACTGGCTCCATCAAAGCTTTTTGGGCATCATTTTAGGGTGGGATGCAGCCCCCCCATGGGGGTGACAGTGTCCCCTCATTTTCTCAAGGGATGCTGCCACTGCTTCTCCCAGCACAAAGAGCCAGGAATTGCCACCATCCCCCTGCTCCCTCCCGGGGAGCGGAAATTCGGGCACCTTATTGGTGTTCACTCACCCCCAGCCCCTCAAATCCATGCAATTAACGATGTTGTGTTTAATTAAATGGTTGTCTAATTATCTTGGCATAAGCAAACATGGCAGGTAAATACCACAGGAGCGGTGCCATGGATGTGCCGGAGGAACCGGGTGGATCTGCAGTGCCCACAGCCCCAAAACACCCACAGCCGCACTGGGCTGAGCTTGGAGACCCCCAAGAGCATCGGAGCAGAATTTGGCCCCCCGTCTCCAGCCCCTGCAGGAATCAGACCCATCACAGCTGATGCAAAGCAGAGCCCACTCGGGCCGGACCTGGCAAATCCGTGGCGGGAAAGGAAAGGCTCTGGAAGCAGAGCTGCCTGCCTGGGGGTGTGATGGTCTCCAGGAAGGCGGCGATTCGAGGCCAAACGAGGTGAAAGGCGCCGTCAGGATCGTTTTGGGGGGTGGTCAGCCAAAGCGGGGGGAGCAGAGCCTTGTCCTCGGCAGCATCTCCCTCCCTCACTGGGCTTTTTTTACTCCCCTGGATCTCTTCTTAATTCCTAACTTAATTTCTTTTGACATCCCCATTGCCGGTTTGACCTCTTTACTGGAATCATGTGCTGCTTAAAACTCATTATCCCACCATTGAAACAGGAAGTTAATTAAAAACCCTTCAAAAAAAGAAAAAGAAAAGGGAAAAGAAAAGCACATCCCATGTCCAGGGAGAGATGGAGAAGGGATACAACCAAGCTGTGCCGTTGTCCCCACAGTCCACCAGCCCCTTCTGCCTCCATTGATCCAAAAATTACAGGATTAATTGGGGACCACCAGCCTTCACCACTGGAAACACTACACTCACCCACACCCCCCCCCGAGCCAAAATTGGCCGCAGACAAGGGCTGGGTTTGGCAGATATGGTTGTTTTTCACAAGAAAATATCCTCATCATAGATCCAAAATATAACCAGCTCCTGTTTAGCCCACATTGAGCCCAAAATTGCTTTATCCTCATGGCCCACATGGCTGGGATGATGCCAAGGGGGATCCCAGCACCCCCACACCATCCCCAGTGTGTCCTGGGGCGTTCCCCCACCCCAAGACAGGGTCACAGTGAAGTCACAAGTAGGAGTTTTTGGGCCACTCATCTAGAAATGAGAGGGATTATAAGGGGTTGGGATTCTAAAGAGAGGCCCTGGGAACCCCATACAAAGACCCCAAAGGAGGCTTTGAGGATCCTTAAAGAGTGAGTTGGGACCCCAATGCAGGGAACTGAGGTTCCAGAAAAGGGGATTGGTGGCCCTGAGGGAGTTTAGGAGCTTCCAGAGGGGCAAAAGGGTGCAAAGGGTGATTGGGACCCCAAAGGGGGATTTGGGGACACCAAAGGAGGGGTTAGGGTCTAAAAGGAAGGGCTTAGGAACCCTAAAGAGGGGGTGAGGACTCCAAGAAGGGACTGAAGTCTCAAAGGAATAGGTTGGGGACCCAAAAGGTGGAGTTAAGAATCCCAAAAGAGGGGCTTAGGGACTCCAAGGGGGGGTCTGGAGTCTCAAAGAAGTGGGTAGAGGACCCCAAAGGAGGGCTGAAGATCTGAAAGGAGAGGCTTGGAGACACCAAGGGCAGTCTAGAGCCTCAAAAGAGTGGGTTAG